TAAACATTGTGACAACATTTTGACAGAGCGAGAATAATAATAATAAAAAGTCTACGATAACCTTATAGACGATTTAATTAGTGAGAATGTGTAATAATGACAATAGTTATGTAAGATTGAACGTATTCACATTATCAAACAACATATTTTCTTTGTCATTCTCACAAAATTGCATTGTTCATACGTTCGCACAATAGATGTCAATCCACATTTGAACCTAGCTCTCTCTCTCTCTCTCTATATATATATATATAATATATATATATATATATATATATATATATATATATATATATATATCTGTCTAGATATATATATATATATATATATATATATATATATAATGATCAACAAAACACTTGCATTTTTTATAATAAATAAAAACATATGAAAACATTACGAGTAAATGACTCCTGACCCAATGCATTGCAATGGCGGTATCTGCTTAATCCAATCATATGTTTCCTTTGTAAATGTACACAAGTCCTCAATTGACTTTCAAAATAGATAATTGTGGTTGCTTTAGCACGCTTCTACAAATTCTCCTTCAACATTTCTACTATCAACTTAAGTTTCATGTTCTCAAGAATGCATCTAAGACAGAACCTATGCTCAACACATGGGAATATGTTTGCAATAGTTAGGATAAAAATGTATTAGTTTCTTACAATATACCTTAACATGTATGAAATTGTAAATTAAGTGGTATAACTTCTACCTATCACTTATGAAAGTAAAGTTTGATCTAGTGTTTAGCTCCAAGTCAGACCCTAAACACTCTAAAAACCAAGTCCAAGAGTTTGTATTCTCTACTTCAACAATGTTGTATGTCATAGGAAAATTTCCATAGTTTGAGTCGATACCTACAATAGTCAAAATATGAATATGATATAGCCCTTTATGAATGAAACATCTAACCCTAAAAAGTCTCATTTATCATGTTCGAACCTCTCCTTCAAAGCACCTAGGCAGATGTATATTCTCTTTAACATTCTGGTTTCAAGATTAAAATTTGTTTCACTTTCAACTTCCAACTTCACTGTTGTTCTAGGATTTGTTTGTTGCAATTGCATGATGTAGTCTCTAATCAAGGATTACTTATTTCCATAGTATTCATGCGAGCGGTATTGTTAAATAATAGGCATAGTTAGATTGCTTTCTATCTAGGAAGCTATTTTGTTAACTAAGAAATTTTAGGTGCCAATCTTCACATGTCTAGTTGGAAAACAAATATGCTTAGATATAATATTCTTCACAATCCACACATCTAGATTTGATGCCCTAAAGGCTTGTAAAACATATGGACAATATTCATTTTTTTGAATTTACTAAACTACCCTTGCCTTTATTTCCTGTCACAATCCTCTTGTAGACATATTCACATTTACTCCCTACAAAGCACTCTCACCCTAGTTTTTTTCATTTACTTCCACATATAGGCCCCTCTTGATTTGTAAAGAATGTTCTTTGACCAAATCTTGAACTTTTTTTTGTTTGGAAAGTTTGACTAGTGCTTAAGCCAACACCATGTAGGTGACCTTCTGAACAAGGTTTATTCTTTCCAACATCCTACAACAATCTCTTTTTTTATCCTCTTCATATCCTAAAATTTAAATTTGCTTGTGTTTATTACTTCTTATTCATCTTTTTGGTTCTTTTCTATAAGATGTTTATTTTTCCATTTCTTGTCCATTCCATATTGGTATCAACCACGTTGATGGAATCAAACATGTTAACTTTAATTCCATCCATCAGGCACCAAGTAACAATCATCCAAATTAAAGTCACTATCATTACTTGATTCAACTTCTCCATATGATATTGCCATAAATTACATCCAATGCACTCATATGCTTTGCTAAACCTTGATCCACTTTATTTTCAATTTCTACATAATTGTTATGTTCATATTCCTCCTCTACGTTCCCATTGTAAGGAATTTCTTGTGGCATAAGTTCAAAAAAGGATCAAAATAATCCACCTCAACTTGATCTAGCATTGGTTTATCTGGTATCAGTGTAGAAACTTGAATTTCTTCACCTATTAAATGTACTTCAACAATTGGTATAGTCTCTTAATCTATGTTAATATGGTCATTTGATGGGGCACAACAATATTAGTGGTAGTTTTGGTAATTACAATCCCTTTATAAGGCATAATAGTTTGCATTGAAAATGATTCACTTAGTAAATTTTGGTCTAGATCTTTGTTCAACTTCCTACCACAATATCTAATTTCTTTTCTTTTCTTTCTACTCTTATCTAGTTAAGGGGAGGGGCAATCTTCTATTTCTTCAATAACCACTTTAACATGTGATATAAAATAGATATGTAGTGTTGTTCTTCTATGCCCGATATAAATTCTAACATTTTTATGATTGACATCATATGTGGACAACCTAATCACATCATGGTCTTTGCCAAGTGAAGGAGTCCATAATCAAGTTAAACATCTGGAATGCAAAAGTGGTAATACATGGACTCCCTTTTAACATGCCCTAACTCTTGTAACATTACATATAGCTCATGTGAAAAAAAATTTCTATGTCAACATAATCACTGTAGTTGATTTTACTAAACATGTATTTCTTATAAAGAGCTTTCTAAAACATCCCTCCATGATGAACACACAATATGAATATATTAGGAAACCATTGTGCAAAAAAAAGATAATAAACCCTTCAATAAAGAAATGATGATGTTTTGTATTAAAAATCATAAAATAAGAAGCTCTTACATAAACCTTCTTGGCAACAATATAGGTGTTGGTAGCACATACACTCCATAGAGTTAACCCTTTGCCTGCCAAATGTAGATAATGTATCAATAGACATTGAAGCTTTCAGTGTAAAGGGTTGAAGATGATTACGGAAACGAATATGGTGTTTGTAATGGTGGTATGGATCAAATGGGTTTTCTTGGAATGATGTTATTGCTACTCTAGTTATGGCAGTAAGTCGTTATAGAAGGAGGTAAAGAAAATGGCTAAAATACCCTCACATGAAGGGCATGTGATGCATTTAAACAACAAAAAATTGAGGTCGTCTATCACTAGGACCACAAGTGTATTTTCTCTAGACGATAGATATTATCCCTATCAAGTTTTCAAAGGTTGGACCGACCATTTATGTAGTTTACTCTTAACTTTAATAAGAAATATATACATCAATTAAAATTCAAAACTGTTTTCTAATGAAAACAAACTAAATAAAGCAAGTGGTTCAAAATTAAACCTCGAATCTCTTATAGCGTGGCATGAACTTTATGATTAAATTTTTGTATATGAGACCACTTCATTTTCTTTTGGGTATAGTATTCGGTTATATATATCATTGTTCGTAAACCTAAAATGTCTTAAATAGGCCCGACCCCTGAGGGGGTACAAAGTGTGCAACCGCACAAGGGCCCCGAAAAAAACAGGGCTTTGCAAAATTATATAATTAAGATATTAATATATATTATGTTTTCAATTTTTTAACACAAATCTGCTTTGGTTCAGTTGGTTAAAGTGCCTTGGTGTTAAAAACATTCATGTGGGTTCGATTCCATTGTAATTCAAGTTTCTTTTTTAACCTTTGCTTATTCTAACTTCATTACCCTCATATCATTGACTCCATATAAGGATGTTGCTTCAGTTAACTACACGATTTAAATAGATTTATTAGGGGTGATAATTCTTGACCCAACTCGTAATCTGACACGAAAATAAATGGTTTTGGGTTAAGATTTTTGACTCGTCAACCCATTTATTTCATGGGTTGGGTTGAGTTGCCCATTTGGGTTTGTGGGTCAACCCGCCAACCCAACTATATATATTATATTTAAAAAAATTAAAATTTTATTTATAAATTAATAGAATATAGTCAATATACGACATTGGAAACCTTTTTTTTTTCAAATGTGTTTCTTATAAAGTTATTATGTTAGACTGATATTTGGTTGCTCATTTCATTCTAGTTAATGTAAAATGCTAATTATTAATTAATTTAGAGACGTGTATAATTTGTATAAATTTAACATATGAAAAGTAACCCGAAAATGACTCATCGACTCTTTGACCGAAATCGACTCATGAACCCGCGAACCTATAAATTTAAACGGGTTATGTGAGTTGGATTGGGTTGATGTTTTCCAACCCGTCAACCTGCCAACCTGCCAACCTGTATATTATATGGGTTAGATTGAGTCAATGTATTCTGACTCGTCAACCCGTGAACCGTTAAGACGAACTCAACCCAATTGTCATGCCTCAGATTTATATTCCAAGGTACACTTTATACCCTTCATTTATGCTTCATACTTTACAAACTATCCAACATCTTAATTCTCTTTGCTAACTCAATTTCCAAAAATTGTATATTTAGTCCCTCTACTTTTATAAATTCATATTTGTCATTTTGTTTATTAATTTAATTTAGTTTTTTTAGTTTTTCCTTATGACAATTCACCCTTTAATTTTTTTGTATATATATAAAGAAATTTAGGACCTATTTTTTATTTTTCGCACATGACCTTCATAATCAATGGACCATCTCTTAAGTTTTTTAGAGGATGTTTTGTAATTTTGTATGGATTTCATGAAATAGTTGGGTCAAATTCATGTTTAGAGCATGTTGTATTTGTATATGGATCTCATTAATTATTTGGGCCAATTTTATGTAGACGTTACGTGTAAATCTCACTTACGGTGCTAGTTGAGTTTCAATTTTTCAATTTCTTTTTTAAATTATCAAATTAAGATTACTAATAACCATTAAAATATCGATTTATATATAAAAAAGGGACTTTTTAAAAGATCCTTAATTATTATTTTGATACATAATATCATATATAATAGTTGAAAAAGTAACCCACCCTATTAAAAATTTAAAACCCCACTAAACCAACACATGCAGTATCCATTTCCATAGTCAAAAAGCATGTTGCAGCTCACACTCAACTAATGAACTCCTCCTATATATACTCACGTCGGAGCCTCCATAATGGCACGCCGCCCCCACCATGTCTTCCTCCTCCACTCCTCCCACAACCACCGCCCCAATGGTGCTGCTACTACTTCTATTGATAACGATCACATACCTTCCATCTCCCATCACTGCGCAATCCAACTCCCCACTAAGCCCTACAATCACAGAATGTGGGCCTCGTATCCTTCCCCTAGCCCTGTGTGCACCATTCGTTCAAGGAGTATCCAATACCCCGACACAATTATGTTGCGATAATCTGATGCATGTCAATGAACAGCAGCCTCGTTGCTTGTGCCTCTTGCTCAACAACTCTGGTTTGAGCTCGAGCTTCCCGATTAACTCGACACTTGCCATGCAACTTCCACTTATGTGTAGTGTCAATTTCGACATTAGTTCTTGTTCAGGTTAGGTTTATAAATTCTCGTCATAATTAATCTTGATATATATAACTATAATTAAGTTCCTAATCCGCTAACATTTGTGGTTTTATGAAGGATCTCCTTTGTCATCGGTGTCACCTACGCCACAAGTTTCACTAGGGTCGATCACCAATACCACTACCAATTCTACTGTTGCTTGTAAGTACCGAACATAACTGCGTTTAATTTGATATGCATTAGAATGAGGCGAGGACTCGAATATCAATAGGACAAAATACGTATTTTTCATCCTTCCTAATGCAAAAGACTTAAATGTATTCATCATTCTCATCATAAATAAATAATCTTGGAAAGTTTGTATAGTTTGGTCTAGTGCAGTCTTGTCACAAGTGTAACAAATGCAAATATAGTTGCAAATATTTGATATGACTTTGGATGTTGATGCTATGTTGTGTATTAATTGTTTGTTGCAGCTTCCCCAATGGCGACAGTCAATCCGAAGTCCCCACTGATGGGAATAGGTTATCATCCGAATAACGCAATAAAGGTGCGGGGATCGTTGCAGTTACGGATGATGGTGGTGTTGACTATCTTGACTTGCATATGGACTAGCACGCTATATTGATTATTGAACACGTCGTATGAGTAGCTTGGATCTGGTAGTTGCGTGTTGTTGCATTAGGTCGTTAGGTTGATAGTTAGTGAATAAATTTAAGCAATATTTAACGGTTGAGATGATTTAATGTGATGTATTTTTTGTAATATTGATGATTGGTATGTCTAGCAACCACTATTTTCGGTTAAGGTTTACTCCATTTGATGATCTCAAATTGAGGAATCTAGTTTATTAATTAAGCGAAGTTGTGGATTTTAAGGGGTAAAAGTGGTATTTTGACCTAAAGTCAAAGTACAAACTGCAGGGGACATATTTGACAAAAACTAATAATTAAAACAAACATCATGGTCTTAACATGTAGGGTAATTGTTGTTAAAGTAAAAGGTGATGGGAGGAGGGAAAATCGAGAAACAATGTTGATGGAAAGCCCGATATCAACATAGATAAATGATACATGTAGTATGTGTATTTGACCCGAGGCAACCTTGTTGCGAACAAATAAAATGTCGATTTCAATATGTTTGGTCCGTTGTTGTTGAGCCGAGTTGTTGGACAAGCAAATTGCACTAAAGGTGTCACAATAAACAATAGCTACATCATCTGGTCATCGATAAAACTCATATAAAAGATCTTTAAGCTAACAAGTTTCTGCGACTACATTAGTTATGCTCCACTATTTGGATTCGGTACCGGCAAATAGTATCATGATGTTTAGAGAACTTAGAAAGAAGATTTTGCCTAAAGACACAATAATCAGATCTCCAGTGACATGTCTTGGGCCATCCAACCCAATTTGCATCAGAGGGTCCAATAAGCATGCTCGAAAACGATGCATATAAATGTAAGCCATGATAGATGTGCCACAAATGTAGCATATAATTCTTTTTAGGGCCATGAAATTTGGTTTCCGATGAGGGGGTCATGCATATATAAGCAAAATGTTTGCACAACATACGTGATATCTGCTAAAATTAAGATGTTGTAAAACTCCCATAAGACTCTTACAGAAAGTCAAATATGGTATTGGTTGTCCAGTATCACCGATTTTGCCTAAGGTATCACCTGGGGTCCAGGTCGGCTTACAATTTGTCGTACTTTCTTGTTCCAAAATTTTCAAATTAAACTTTTTTGGGATAAAACATCTCATGGGGATCACATGTAACAACAATATCGTGAAAATAATTGAGGTCCTCGAGGTTGGTCATGGAAAACTCATAACCCAAGTGTAACACCCCGCTTATTAAGTAAATAAATAAATAAATTAATGAATGTATAGTAGCCCTAAAATCAATAATTACATAGCAAGGTGTTGGCCTCGAGGAGCTAATTGTCACAATTTTAGAAGTCGGGGGTTAAAAGTGTAAGTTTCGGATGGGTTTCGTAAATAATTATGAAGGCAGGGACTACTTGGTAAATTATTGGGACTTAATTTGAAGAGATTTTGGAGGCTTAGGGGCTGTTTGGTAACTGTTGGACTTAAAATGAAAGAATTTATAGGAGCAGGGGTGTAATGGGTAAATATGGGAGCTATTTCGAAAAGATTTTGATGGAGAGGGACCACTCCTGCCATTATAGAATAAAGTTTGTTAGTACACGGGTATATAACTGTTCCATTGCCTCAAACCCTAACCCTAGAACCATAACCACCACCGTGAGGTGGTGGCCGCCGCCTTGAGCCGCCGTTGACCACCACTACCCAAGGTGGTAGTGGGTGGTGCCTGACTAGCGAAACCCTAATAGGCCTAGTGAAACCCTAATGGGCCTAATGAAACCCTAATGGATCTAAGGACTTAGCTTTTGGGCCTATTGGGTTGGAAACCCTAATTAGGGTTTAGAAAACCCTAATTTTGGAATCATTGGCTTGGACTTATCGGGACCTGCATTTTGGGTCATTGGAATTGGACTATGTATTAAGCCCGACCACACCATATGATTTATCTAGTAGAGTGATGGACTTAATGGATTAAGTCCTTAATGGGTTAAGTGAGAAACACTTAACCCAAATTGTCATTTTATGTGAAACCCTAATCTGACTTGGGCCTTATGTTGGGCCTTTCTATTGGGCTTTGGTGATTAGGCTAATAATGGGCCATCCAAGAACAAGTAAATAGACTAGAATAATTTAATGGGCTTTAGGGTAAGGCCCATATGAGGGGTTTGGGCCCAATTTGGAAAATTGGGCCATAATTGGGCCTTTATGATCATGAGATATTGGGACATTAGAATGCTAAATGTTTGGACTGGAATAAATGGTTGGGCCTTAGTATAAGACCATGTAAAGGTTTAGGCCCAATTTGGAAAATTGGGTCATATGTTGGGCTTTGACTCATAGTTGACTTTTGGGCCTTTGGATTTGGCCTTGCGCTTGAATCAAGCTAATATAGGGGTAAAGCAATCTTTTACCCCAAGCATGGACTTATGGATATGTATTGGAACCCAATGATTAAATGGGTGTTATTTTGATGATTAAACAGTTCGGGAACCTGTCATCCAACAGCTAGATTTTTGTCTGCGGGACTTCAGCAGTGCGAGGTGAGTTACCTTCCAGTAGAAGTGGGTCTACGGCCACAATGCCGGCCCACTAGTAGGAGTTGTTTGATAGATGATTGTCTTTGTGATAATTATCTAGGTTTGCTACTACCAGATATGTTTTATGTGCTAGCATGATATGATGTTATGTGATAGTGGTAGTAGGGGGAATAGTCTCTGGTTACCGGTCGATAGGGCCGAAGGGGTAGTTTTAGTACCCAACTATGCTAAACAGATTATGATATATGTGATATGATATTATGTGGTAGTAGTAGGGGGGAAATAGTCCCCGGTTACCGGTCGACAGGACCGCATGGGTAGGTTGGGCACCCCGGTATGCCTAACAGGGGTAGGTTGAGCACCCCGATATGCTCAACAGGGTAGGTCGGGCACCCAGATATGCCTGGCATGGGGTAGGTCGGGCATCCCGGTATGCCTGACAGTATGTGATTTGTATGGTATGTGGTAGGATGGGGGAACTCACTAAGCTTTGTGCTTACGGTTTACAATTTTGGTTTCAGGTACTAGTTTTCAAAGGAAAGGGGTCGGCTTGATCGCAGTGCATCACACTGTGTTTTCCGCACATGATATCTTTGGGATTACACTCTGATATTGCTTTTATGATAACTTGTTTTGATTATTGACACTTTGGTTTTGACATGTGATTTTATTATGGATGACTTATTAGTGTTGGTTTTATGATTTGCTAAACTAAAAGCGAATTTTTTGGTCTCGAATTTTGGGATGTTACACCAAGATGGTGGTAATATGGCATAAAAGCTCAAGCAAGGAAGCATGCAAGACTATGTCGTCCACATTCAAAAGTAAATAAGGAATGTGTAGTCCCTGTCGATGAATAAATAATAAGGAATCACATCCGTTGTGAATAAAACTGAGGTGTGCTACGAACTCGGAAACACGATGAAACCATGCATGTGGTGCCTATTTTAGGCCATATAATGATCATTGTAAAGACAAACATGGTTAGGAAATCTAGAGTCTCTAAAATCAGTTGGTTGTTGCATGTAGGTTGTCTATCGAAAGTGGTCGTGCAGAACACATTTTTCACTTCAAGTTTCCTAATTAGCCAATTATGAGACATGGTGAGGCTAAGAATGGTACAAATAATAGCAGGTTTGACAACGACACTTAAGGTCTCGTTGTAGTTGATATTAGGTGTTTAACTTCGACCACTAACAACAAATATATCTTTGTACGTAGGTAAGAGGTGAGCACACTTGACACAATAGGGTGTATATGATGTTGTTGATAGTAAAGGCTTGTTGATAGTAAAGGGCATGCGCAGGGGCGGAATACAAACATTAAAATTAGGGGGGCCAATATCAAATTTTCAAAACCGAACTATATAATCATGTTTAATTTGTTTCAAGGTAATTTAATTTCTTGTCTACATATTTTAATAGTTAGTTAAATAAAAAAATATATATTCATGTATTATAAATAAATCTTAATCTTAATAAAGATATAGAAACAAGTTAAATTAAGTAGAAAACTAATCTTAAAAAATTAATAAAATAATTACTCACAAAAGTTATATTATAAATATGTCCTCTAAAAAAACTAAAGAAAATAAGAAAATAGATTATATATAGCACATTTCCTAGCTTCTACTTTTCTGCGGTATTAAGAAAAAGCAAAAGAGGTAATAAATTCAAAGTATTTGGCTACTTGCTTGCTGTATCACATTATTTATAGATTTAATAAATCTTTAGTTACATAAGATATGACAATAAAAAATAGAGGAAGAACGAGGGCGAGAGAAAGTGAAAGAGTGAGAACCTCAAACCTTTGAGAGAAAGTGAGAGTGTGAGAGCCTGAAACCTTTGAGACAGCTAGACATTAACAAATCGAGACGACAACCGGCGAAACAAAGATACGATATGTACCCAAACATTATGCTTGAGCGCATAAGAGATCCAAGTATGTATATGATTTGCATCTTGCCAAACCCCATATGGAAACCATAACCTATTTATATCTAATGCATCCCTAAACTTAAGAATCCCTTCAATGAAATTTTCAATTAAATCCGCATTAGGTTGACCCTAACCATCAAACCTCCATAGTATATAATAATGCATCATCAAGGTCTATGTTTGGAAGGTATGTTCAGAACTTCTTCCATCTTGTTGATAATTTTAACATCCTTACAACTTATTTGGTAGGCATGGGTGATCAAATGTGATGCAAAAGGAAAACATGAAGATAGCTTGCATGATCAAATATATCAACTATATCTTCAACTCAAGGCCTCTATCCACATTCACGTTATTCTTTACTTCACTGAATTCCAAACTATAGTTTGCAAGAGCAATGCTAAGATAGAGTTTCTCCAAAGTGAATAAAAAAAAATTTCTTTACATACACATGCAACAACCATATTTGTTACCTTTACTGAGGCTCATTGTATTACTTAAAAGGACTAAAATTATTAGTAACATTAAATTATATTTAATCTG